TCCAAAATTCAACATTGATTTTGGGGGGGAAGGGGTTGGGGTAGACAGGGGAATGGGATAAGTATATCCACTATGCAAAAAGGGGCCATTTTACGGAAGTGTGCCAACACTTTTGTCCCTCATTGTAGATTTAATGTGATTTAGTAAAGATGTGTAAGTTTATGTGCAACTGCTGTTTTGGGTTTTTAGTACTAATTTGTGACTCTGTATTGAAATTTGAATAAAAAATACACAGGATCATTAATCACTGATGTTTACCTTACTTCATAGGAAATCCTCACCTAATTCACTTACAAACCAGCTATCGCGAGATTTACCAGCGTGTGATTAGACGTTCCTATTTCATTTTCTTCACGACTTGCTCTTTCGCATGAAGCAAAGGATCAATGTGCCCTGCGCTCGTTTCTCGAAAGCCCGGGAACGTTTCAGGAGTACCGAACGCATCCTCGGCGACTCAGGGGCAGTTAGTCGGGTCGATAAAATGTTCGTGGTGAAAGTTCGATCTTACAGGAAACTTTCACCACGAACATTTTATCGACCCGACTAACTGCCCCTGGGTCTCCGAGAATGTACCCAACGATGATTTCCTCCTAATTACGTTGAAAAGACCTTTAGGCTATCCAGAATACTTTTAGACCTGTAGAAATACATTCTGAGCGGTGCTACAAAATTTGTGTCTGTTCGGCCAGCCTAGGGGATTTTGAGTCTTTTCGAAATTACAAGGGCTTCAGTATTATTTTCCCGAAAATTTTAGATGCAATTTTTCGTTTTACGAACGTGAGAATTTTTCTGACTCCTGTCCCAATCACATTTTTGAATCCGAAAATTTTAGGTTTCCTACTTCTACAGACAGCATTACTTGGGGAGTTAAATGTCATAACTGTAAGCTTCAGAAAATCGTAGGGAATTTATTAGATAAGTTTCGAAAATTGTTCATGAATGGAACGGCCATCTAGAAATTTGCAGCCGTCCTCAAGCAATAGAAAATTCTAGGCAATGTTTGCTTTTCCAAAGAGATAGTTTACAGACAACAGTCGTTGGGTGCCCCTAAGGGTGCCCCTGACGTTTCGCTCCCGAAATCAAATTTTCAAATCGAATATAAAGAATAAGAGCGCGGGTCCTGGCTAGCAAACTACTCCATTTTGTTTCATTAACTAATAGTTTTATCATGTTTAAATGTAAAACTATTGAAACCTCTACCTTGCTTGTAAACAACAACAGCTTTGAGGGCCGTCAATTATCGGGACTTTCTAGAAACGGGCCCCAGGGCCAAGGTTCCTTCATTTCCCAAGTCCAATCTTGAGTCCGAGCCAATCGTAATCGGCTCCAGTCTCTTTCTCTTGTCACGGACCTTCTGCCTTCTCAAAATTCCAAAATTCTGCCTTTAGGGCAGATTGCAAAAATAGCCATGGCATACTGTACAAGGAGTTAAAAACCTTCCTTATGGTCTTCAAAATTTGTAGGGGCTAAACTGCATGATGTATCGATATTCATGATTAACAAGCCGGGCTCGGATTTGTGAGACTAGTGAAGGAAAGTTCACCGTAACCGAGACATATCATGGCGAAGATAGGTCTTCGTCCAAGCTCAGCGTCTGTTCATATGCAGTCTTAAAATATTCATGAAGCAGGCGTAGTAACTTATAGCATGGACGACAAATGCTCTTTAGTACAGTGTAAAGATTAAAATACCACGTGTCATGCTGACTCCACGTGGCTAAGTCTAACTCGAATACAGAAAGTGATTCGTGAAAATTACAAGTTTTAGGTTCCGCCATCTTCCCGCCAAAGTAATCTGAGTACGCAACGAGACGCGACGCGAAAGATTTGCGGCTGTTAGCAGGATTAAGCAAGGATTTTCATGGCTTGTAATCGGCGTGTTGGGTTACCCTTGTGACTAGTGCATTATAATTTCAAAGATTTACTCTTCAAGCACGACAGTGTGGTCTGAGGAATTCCAATCTACCACAACAATTACAGTATGTCTACTCAGCAAGTGGTTCAAGACTTGTCCTTTCCAATAAAGGTTTACGTTGGCATCGTTCATCTGTTACTTTTGTTTCTAGTCATTCTGTTTCTTCAAAGACCCAGGAAAAATGGCGACAAGGATGCTCAACGAGGTCGTAAAAGTCGAACGATCACCAAAGATGATCGCGCCGTGACCATCGAATCATGCGAATGGATCAACTCGACCCTTGCTTGGTTTTATCTTCATGCTCAAAGCGATGAAAACAAAGATCGCACGCCGCTGATTGTGAAGTTATGGCTACGTGCTTTGAATAAACAGCTTCTGAAAGAGAAAAAGGTATCTTTCATCCATTTGTTTGTTTATTTTGTAACCGGTAACTTTGCAGCGGACGAAGCGGAGGGACCGGGCTATCCGTGTAGTGTTTTGTTTTTCATCTCAAACAGTACTTGACCTTCTGTTTAAGTCGTACGTTTTTACATTGTAGCCATAAATTTAAACTTATATCTATTTGTTACCTGTCAACAGTCTCTTGTGTGAGTTAATTGTCCCAAAGTTCCCAAATAGCAAGTTGAAATTTCTTAAACCATACGTTTTGACTTAGGGTTTGACCTAATGGCATGGGTTACGCAATAATTTTGGCTTTTTAGGGACATTAATATTGTTTAAATCTAAGTCCTTCGGAAGTCGTGATTTTTTATAATTTCTTTTTAGCATACTTTAATAATAATAATTATTATAAAACGTGTTCCCTTTGTCATTATTGGTTAACAATGACTGTGGAATAAAATTAAAATTCTCTTTTAAGTGCTGACCCTGTCACTATGGCAGTCAGATGCCTAAAACTGTCACAGCAACAACAACGACATTGTAAACATTGCAAGCTCATTGCAAACATGGAAAATCATTTTCATTGTGCTGAAATTTTTTTTCAACCATAAAAAATCTATTGGTTTTTGCCCTGCATTTCTGCCATCTTTGGGGAGGAAAACAGTAGCCTTGCAGCACATCAGAACCTCCAATTTAATGAGGCCCTGTTAGGGTAAAATTATGACAGGCAACATGGCCTTGAAACAGCGACATAAAACAGATGAGTTGGCGACAAACGGCAGGTCGTTGGTTCGAAACTGCAACAGTGACAAGGAAAATCACAAATACAATAGTAAAATACTGAGAGTGACATGGCCTCCTCTATAATACATGAAGCAACTGCTTTTGAAATTCAGATGAAGGACATGCGTACCCCCCCTAAGAGGGCCTTTTTAATTGGACCCCTATGGGTCCTAACTCTTTTGTTTTCATAGCCTTGTCCCCAGTGGTCTCTCAGTCTCGTGTGCGATCCATATAGAGATGACTGGGGACTAGTCAGTTGCTTTCAGCTTAGTTCCATTGTTAATTTTGTTTATTTTCATTGTATTCCCAACTACAGTTGAGCCTCAATTATCCGGACTCTTTGGGATTCGAGTAGAAAGTCTGGATAATTAAAATTATTAAAAACTGAATCATTGGATAATGCAAGTCTAGAGCTGTGATTGGCTTAGCCATCATGGTATATGAGCCATTAGACCATGCTCTTCAAATATGGTAACTGTGCGTGTCTGCTCAAAATTAAAAGCAAGCTGAAAATTAGTTGTTTTTACAAATAAAGTCGAGAAGAATTCTTGATACATTGTGGGCATTTTAATAAAACAATAATTCCACTCACGCTTGTTGGATATGAGATGATTATGGCCAACTGGGTGTTACGTGCCTTGTTGGCTATCTACCATCTCATATCCAATGTGCACTCGTGGAATAATAATGTTAAAATATATGAAAATTAATGAGATAAAAATGTAAACATAGAGAAAAAAGAAAACCAAATTTTATTGTGAATTAGCTCTTTATACTTGAATTGATTTACGGACTGTAAGTATTTATGTATTTTCAATCCTCTGCTTGTCTCCACGCTGTCAGTGAATTTCAGGATCTCCCCTTTGTTTTTGCTTATATCTGAGATATGCTGCTTGCTGATTTTAAACTTGAGTGCTAAATTTGTTCCTTTTCACCTTTCTCCAAATGTGAAATAATCGGATGGTTATCCTATATCAAGAGGACGGACTGCTTTTGTTGAGTTTACGATTGATTGGTCTTGTGTTTACATAACCAATGCGGAATCAAGAATGACATTCCCTTAGCAACACTATAAGTGAGCTAATCAGAATTCAGCTGAATACATCAGAGTGTTGTTGTTCATCTTGTGCCACTTGCACTTTTTCAAAGCGAAACAGATTAAAACTGTTTCAAACACACGTTTGGAATGATAACGAACTTTTAATCGTTTCAATTTTTCAAGATCTCTCTTATTAATTAATCTTCATGACAAAAAAGCAGGACCAGGGAAACAAGTCCAGAAAATAGAAAAGTCTGGATAATTGAGGTTTGACTGTAATCTGGTGAGGTCTTCTGAGAGCTGCAAGAGGGTCACCCAAGAGGAATGGTTGTTTCTTCTATGAGTTATAGGGGGTAGATATAGTGCCAAAGGGTATTTAGGGGTGGGAGGGGGGTGACAGGGGGTCCAGACCCTCTGCCTCTCATACCTGGCATTCCCAGCTCCCCTCTCTTTTCTTGACCTCCACCCTAAGCCCTTTTACCATTGCAAAATTTTAATATTGCAGAAGTTCCTCCTTATTTCTCCCACTTCCCACCTTTTTCGAAATCCACCCCCCACCTTTACTTTACATCTCCCACCTCCTGTACCCTCCTGCTCTCTGTTCTCCTGGCCCCGGTTGTTCAAAGGTTGGATAGTGCTATCCACTGGATAAATCACTGTCCAGTGGATAAGTGTTAGGCCATTCAATTGCCTTATCTAGTCGATAGCACTATCAACCTTTTGATCAACTGGAGCCTGGGCCCCTATCCCCGCCTTCCCCAACTGTAGTGTAGAATTTTATAAAAATCCACCTCTTTAGGTCTGATTTAATCTGGGCTTGTAGATTTTGCATGAGAATTGCTCCCTTTTTTTTATTTCGCTTTTTTATGTCATTTTCAGGCAACAAATTTGATCTTTAATTGCTAATCCCAGTGTTTTTTTTTTTCATCTACATGCAGTAAGCTACTAGTGGTGCTGAGACAAACTTGATTCACTCAGCTGAATTTGTGTTTTTTTAGCATTGTTTTTTCTCTTGTAGAAAGATCAGAGGATTGTTATCGAAGGTCTCAGCCCAGGCTGTCTTCCTCCAAAACTTACAAGTGTGTACTGTTTGTGTGTTAGCGGGAATATGCAGGTAAAAAAATTGTGGATTAAGAATAACACAAATATATTCACCCAAATCTCTTTACAATACATTTTAATATTATGAATATGTTTTGCAACGTTTTTAATGATGTTTTTTTTCGCTTAAAGCATTAACTCTTGTGAACGAATGCAAAATGTCAGACTGCCATGTACAAAAAGGCATTAAATGATTGTGTAGCTTTTATAGGTGTCTTAGTTGAAAAGGACTTTTTGTTAAGTAGATAGTTTGAAGACTGAACATTATAACGTGACTGCCTTTGCACGTACTTACCAGTGCAAAGCTTTGGCAAGCAGTTAGCCACTATAAAGCTAACCAACATGTTGCTTGTACCAGGTCACTTCAGAACAGAATAATTCTGTTTTTACCAGTCTCCCGCCTTCGGTGATTTCATTTGCCTGTAAATAGTCAATGCTTTTTAGATTTCTTACCTTCTTTTTGGATCTGAATTATTTTCTATAGAGAGAAAAAAACTTTGACAAGACAAGAAGTAAGATTCCTTTGGAAATCAAAGGGAAAATTTTTCCATTTAAGACAAAATTAATTCCTTGAGTTCCAGTTCAAAGCATTGACAAGGCACTGAAAGTTAGTCGCCTTCTGGTGACTAGCCTTGTAATTCTGGTTGCCAACACTAAATTTCAGTTGCATTGGCAACCAGCTGGTCACAATTTTGGACCCTGTGTCATCATCATCATTGGCACCACTACTTCCACCACCACCACCACTGCTACCATCATCATCATCATCATCATTGTAATCATCATCATCATCATTATTAACTTAATATCATCACCATTGTCAATAAATTGTTGTTTTTCTAGTGCATAACATTTCATGTGGAGTCAGCAGACCTTGGTTTTTTAATTCAAGTTCTTCAAGAAACTGATGATGGGCCTAAATCTTCACTGCTGGAAACAAGGGTGCTCAAATTAGCTGGAGAGGTATTATAATATGTCTTCATGTACAGTGTGTATGAACTGCTTAGTGTATAGCCTCTTTGAGATAAAAAAGTCAGTCTTGACTCTGCCACAATCACCCTGACGTAAAAACGTGGAAGGAAACGGTTCACAGTACTGCTCAAAAGTGTTAGCTAAAGGCCGACACTCAACTTGATTCTCAAAACATGGTTCTCGTGTTTGAAAATGTGAATAACTTGAACTTTGAGACAAAAGAATTGAGTTCCAATTCTCTCATGTCAAGTTTCAAGAAAACAGGATTTTTTTAGTTCTTCATTTGTCAACTTGCATATTTTTAACTTTTTTTTCTTGAGAAATAGACAGGTTTGACTATTAATTTGACCACACTGCAATTCAATACCACTAAGTTTAAGTGCTGTTAAATTCTGTCACACAACTTCCACTGCTTTGCAAGGAGTGAAACTTTGTGGCAGTGGGGAGGGGGGAATCACTTTAAATTAAATACCTTCTCATAGTCAAGAGAATTGAGATAATTAAACCATTCTTCTGTTTTCTTCTTTGAGGTTGCCCTTAAGCTGAACACTGTTCCTTCTAGGGTGGAAGTATCTATACAGTTTATTGGTGTTCCAGAGATTGCCATGGCAACTAAATGCTTTGACAAGGTACAAAACTGTTTTCTGTAAATGCTGATGGGGCAGTGGGTAATCTTTCATAAAAGTGGTCAGAAGAAGACAATATTTCTCTGAAAGTTTGAAAAGATTGCCAATAATATTATTTGTGGCCTCATTATTTTACTTAAATGGGCCAATTTTGTTTTAAAACTAAAACTCATACTAATTGAATAGACGACAATGAAATATGTTATTAAACGAAATTATTTATGAATGAACCTCAACATTTAGAGTGTATGATTTATTATGTTTGTTTTCCCTTTGAGCTTTTTGAGTCTGATATCACGTAATAGGGCTCTAAGCTATAAGCTCTGCCCTCCTCCAAAAAAGTGGAAATTTATACAGAATGTTGTGGAATCAATAAATGACAATGTAATATGGAAGTGCTGTCTGAGCCTTAAAATACCATGATCTTTTTTTCTGAAGGCAGTCATGCAAGTGCACGCCGACTGGTTCATTTGGGCTTTTTTGAGGTCATTTTGTCCTCAGAATAAATATAATAATTTGTGTATGTGCTCACAGGGAACTTACAGGAAATCAAAATGGAACAGAACTGAATCTGTTAAAATGGTCAGCATGCATACACTTTTTTTTATTTAGAGTTGCATAAATTGTATGGTCAGTACCATTAACCATGAAGATAAAATGAAATGAATTTTTGTGCATTGGGTTACATTTGAATATGTGGAGATATTTCTTTCATAGAAAAATACAACAGTGTTTACAAGTACCTGTCATACCACCTGTAAAACTGTTTAATTGAACCATCTAGCTAGATATAATTTGCTATTTTTATTCCTAAAAACTTAAATTATTACTGAAATAATTTAAAATCTCATTTATTTTCACATATTTTTGTTGATAGTGAAGAAAATTTCTTTGTTAATTAAGACAAACTCTTTATCTTTGTCATTAGCCCTTTACTGTTTGTCAGAGTTCAGGGCATTAAATTTTGTTATTATTTTATAACCTGAAAATTTAAATTAGATAACAGTGGATCCAATGTTAACTCTGTGCAATAATATGTCATGTGTTGTTTAATTTTAACAGTTTTATCTCTCTTTTGTGGTTTATTTTGTTTGTTAATATTGTTATGGAAATGAAAGTTAAGAGAAATGCTGGAAGAGAAAAAATTGAGAAGTTGAAAAATTTTATAATGCCACAATATTACAAATCAAAAGGTGTTTGATGTAAAAACAATTAATTCATTATTTTTATGTCTTATTAAAAAGAATCAAGTATTTTCCATCACCCCATTTTATAATCATGCCTTATTTTATGTTAAGTTTTATATTGCAATGTAGCAATAGAAAAGGTGTTTTATAACTTATACATTACTGTGCGACTTTTGAATGCTTTTCCTTGTTAGGACGTTCTTATATTGCTCATGGTGTAAACAATCATTTAGTTGTCTTTGGGATAAGAAGGATAGAACAAGAGTGATAGAACTCAAGGTGGAATAACTTTAAGTTGGCATGATGAATGCTAACATAAATGCAAGAGAAAAGTCAGTGGACTGGTTACCGATACCTTTGTGTTTAATTAGCGTTGAGGATTTCTTTTCAAGTAAACAGGTCTTACCTGCTTAATGTCAATGATATCTTTAAACTTTTCTGTTTCACTTCAAAGACTTTATTGACCTTTTTTAAGATCATCAAAGGTGATTTAATGTTTCTGGAATGCAACTTTAACCCAGACTCCTAACTCTTTTCTCTTACTCAGCTGAAACTGCTCTACTATATTACACTAGTAAATATCAAGAAGCTTTCAGCTCATAAATTATTCACCTTGACAGAAATATTGCCAGACTCATTTGAAATACAACCAACTTTTGCCCTCCAGAAGTTACTAATAATAGTCAGTTTTTGAAGGAAATTCCAGCTATCCCAATATGGGACAGGAGTCTTCAAAGCAAGGTAAAATTGTCTCTGATTCTACAAAGAGCTTGTTTCTATTGTGTTGTTCTACCGGTTGTGGTGATTTTGAAAGGGTCCTCAAATGTTGACTGCAGTGTTGTGGTTTGAAGCAGGGATTGGCAATGAGGTTTTAGAACAAAGTGAGGAAACCAAACTGCAGTGTGTTATTAAGACATCATCAGACCCCTCTGGTTTGGATGGGGTAAGTTTTCAAATTAACATGTTTCTTTAAAGTCTTTACACACCACTGTGTCGCCTATACGACTGGTACTCTTAAAACAAGAAAATTGAAGGAAATAGCTTTGCTGTGACACTCCGTGTTAGTTTATTGTTCAAGCACTGCTGTATTCATTCTCATCTACCAATTCAATTAATTTTAGAAGACTAAAGCACAGCTTTTACATTGTTTAGTATTAAACAATTGTAGCTGCTAGTAGAACTATAGTGCTTTTGATGAAATATCAGCTTTTTAAAAGAGACAGTTGCAGACTATGAATCCATTTGATACACGTAAAAAATAATCGTAAGCATTTGTGGCAGTAAATGTTGTAGATGTTAATTATTTTCGTAGGAATGTGCGTATACTAATCATTTTAACAATGTTATTAATGTCTTCCATTTTTCTATGGATTAAGTAATTATATTCTGATTTTTGCTTCCATAATTTCAAGAATGGTTCAAAAAATCTTAATTAATCTTAAGTCACTAGATTACTTTAAAATGTAACAATCGTTTTGTGAGATACAGTGTGTAACTGTTTTAGTAGGTGAATATGTAACAAGTTTAATTATCATTTTGTAATGCAGAAAAGTGACCTCTAGCACAAAAATGTTCCTTACAGTTTGCCTTTTTCAAAGGGATGCTGTTCATGAGTTAGTATACTAGTTTGAATTTAAGAAGATGAAGTATTTTTGTTTTGTTTTTTTCTTGAACTTCTAGAAGACAAGTATGCTGTTCATTTTGCTTCATGTACTTTAGAATGCTTTCAGGTCCTTGGATAAATAAAAAATATATGCCTTTTTTAAGTAAGCATGTGCCAAAAAAAGGGAATAAGGCCAATATCCAGCCAATGTTGATGTACATGCAGCCAAAGGACCTATATTGGCCACCAACTGAAGGGTTCCCTCTGTCTAAGTGATGATTATAAGCTGCTAGATTCTTCTTTCAATGTACCTTGTAAGTGAGTGCAAATCAAAAGGAATTGAATATTGGATCAGGAAGCACTTAGGGCCTTATTCCACTCATCATGCTACTACAGTCTGTAATTCAAACAACACATCCACTGACAAACCCACATTGTAATTTATTTTGAAATACAGCAAATAGTCACTCACTTGACTAACAAATTGATAGTCGCCTTGATTTTCTGCCCAATTCCCTAATTAGATGCCTTTATAATTTACCCAAACAATGTACTGTAATAATGTTGTAATTATTTTTAGTTTATACCACCCCAAAGTGGTACATTAATCCACAATTTAATTAATTAAAGCCTCTAAAAGGGAATGGCAATCTCTCCTCTCATTCTTACAGGGGTTTGTATACACCCCTGGACATAGACCATGAACCAATTGCTGGCGAACAGCCTTTAATGTCTGTACTCAGTAGGCTTACAGATTCTTTGCTCGTTAGGCTGTTGTTTAGATCTATTTTGCCACTACTACATGTAGATAATCCTTTACTTTTTTCATACAAATTTCAAATTATTTGCATTGCTTTCTGTACAGAATTTGTACAACTGTACAGTGTGTTCTTCTAGGGAATATGCAGTATACTCTTGTTACACTCTCCATGGAGGATCTCTCTGATTTGAGTTGGAAATTTCAGTTTAGCTTTGGATTTACCTTTTAAATATTGGCCTTTAAGATGAAGACTTGATCTTAGTACCCTCTGTTGGGCTGGTTTGAGTATTTTGTACTGCACCACATGATACAATATATGGATGCAGCATGACAATGATGGTTATGGGCAATTTACTGGGCATTATGGAGGAAATTTAGGCTTCATCAGTGATTTTGTTACAAATACATGTACATATGGTGCGTCCTGGTACTCAACTCACTTGTGAAAAACTCATGAGTTCCAGTCCAGAACCAATGAGACCCAGTTAAAAAAAACAAGTCTGAAGTTGAAAGTGCTTGGGCCTTTATGAAACCAGACAGTTAATTTAAAGACATACTCCAAAACTCTGTATTACAGTATACTGAAATTGAAATATAGTGCTTAAATTTAAAGGACAAGAGAGGCTAAAAGAAAAATAACTGCCACAGAAAGTACACGAATGGTACATTTCTACAAATACACATGCATGTTTAGATCAATTATTAATTGATCTTTGCGTCCTACAGGACGCATGCCTTGAATTATTTTGTGTCTTTGGGGATTTTTGTTTGCCAAGGACGCAGCACTCAGAGGTAACAAAATCACTGCTTCATGGTTATTTAAGGATCCTTAAATATAACCGGAGTGAAGCAAGATATGGGAATAGTGATATATCCATCACATAACTGAACAAAATTGTACACAGTCATGTTCTTCAATCTTCCAGGTAGTTAACTCACTGTATTGTTGTCTGTGATTTGTATCTCAGGATAGTGAGGTTGATGGCGCAGAAGTTCAGGAGAAAGTCAAAGAAGTTATTTGTAAAACCATCACTACACTTCCACTCACTGCAGATACAACTTCCAAGGAAAAGCTCAATTCAGATTTGGTGAGTAGCATTTCTACCTGTAGGTCCGAGAAACCTCTTTGTCTTAGAATAGCGGGGGAGAAAGGAGCACTGCAGCAAAATAACAGTTTATTGAAAGCTATCAGAAGAAGGGTTGTTCAAAGCCATGTCTGCCATTTTCTTTTTTCTGAGGCTTGACACTTGATAAGTGATGAAACTTTCATTTCGTGATAAGAAAATTCCTTGAACCAGACCAAATGTAAAGAAATGTTCAATTTGTGAGTCTCTATTACTGTTGAAATTAAAGCTACAGTGTAGCTTTTTACAGCAGTAGCAGTATTTTCTTGTGGTATATGTACTGTCTATTATGGTGTACAACCGGGTTTGTACAGGTCATGGAAAACCTGGAAAGCCATGGAATTTAAGAATTTCATTTTCAAGGCCTGGAAAGTCATGGAATTTAATTGTCGGTCCTTGAAAGTCATGGAAAATTAAAGTTTTGTTTGGTAGATCAGTCACTGCAGATGACAAAACAAGGATAACCCATGAAGGGGAGTTATTAAACAGTGCGAATGACATGCATTTTGGTGGATACCAGAGTTTGTTTCTGTTGAACTGTGTAAAGTAAAAAAAAAATACAGATGTATGCTAAAACAGGTTCACCTGTAAGGCTTTGAAATTTTTGAAAATGACAGCTACGCATGAGGTCATGGAAAACTGAAAAGGTCATGGAAAAAGTCATGGAAAGTCATGGAATTTGAAGAACTCAAAAGAGTAGGAACCCTGTACAAAACGGTTCAACTTTTAACCCTTTAAGGTAAAAGAATGATCAGCATGAAATTTCTCCTTATAATATATAAAACAGTGGTCAGGAGAATTGAGGACATGATCAGGAAAGATGAATCTAATTCAGCAAATTCTCCCCACCACTTCTTTTGAAAACATACAGGGACAACAAATGAGGATAACAATTTTGATATTAGGGTGTAGAGGGTTGAATTGGTACAGGTGCAGGTGTAGATGAAAATCATTCATTGAAAGTTACTGAACAGTACAGTACATTTGAATTGTAGTAATTGTTCCTGGTGTGTAAATTTGGTATTTAATTGGACCAGATTTTTGATCAAGAGTAGTGACTAATGTGAGACTTAAATTGAAAGCCACATCATAATTTTATATTGTAAAGTGATCGAAGAGTCTGTTTTTGTAAATCACTGCAAATGAAAATTATATGTGTGTAGCTCAGTTACACCCACATCGTCTGACAGCATAAAATGCTAGAGATCAATAAAGTGCCAAAATTTGTACAGCTGTAGTTAGTTCATTTTAAAATATTATTAAGCTGCACCTACGTTGGAATGCTATGGCTTAGTAGCACAGGCATGTCCACTGGTCTGTGGGGCAGGCAACAGAGAGAGGAGAAATCAGATTTAGAAATGAGAAATAATATTATTAGAATAGGGAAAATAGAGAAAGTGGTAATTTTCAAACATTAGAAAAATGCAATATGAATATAAGGCCAAAATTTGTTCACTAAATATTTGAAAAAAAACAAACAACAAAAAACAAAAAACAAAAAACTACTGGCCAACAAATGACTTTTAAAAAAATTGCCTTTTGTAAACACCAGAATTTTTTTTTTTCTAAGTTACCTATCTCACTAGCATTTGGTTTGTCAGATTTACCTGTGTCGATGATAGAAAGATCAACCGTCATTCTACACGCAAGTTTACCAGATAGTGGATCACATACTGCTTGTCATCCAGCAGCTAGTCCACCAAAACGTTTTTTTGAGGGGCACATTTTCTGAATTTGGCAATTGAGTTCCTTGAAAGAGAGAGAAATGGCATAATTGAAAGGCTACTTTACAGGTGGAAGTGTCCCCTCCAAAAAGGAAGTGTGGGGAGTAGGGAGTGTTTTTACTTGAAGCCCTTTTTTTTTCAGTATGCTTAAATGTGATAATGTGACCATTTAACGTAACATACAGCTGCACAGAATAGTTAAATGTCACCTTTAATGCCTGTGTGTTTGTCTTCTATTTTGTGCTTTTGAAATTGTTGTTATAACTAGGCTTTTCTATAAAAAGTGAAATTCATTGATGCCATGGGAAAATTATTTTAACCATAATGTAAAGATTTTTTATTTTATTTTTGTTTATCATACTGCCATGCTATAGAGTCATATTAAATTATAATGAAAAACAGATATATATATGGGTTACAGGAAACATTTTTTATGGACCTATCTAGGAAACTTAGATACTGGTATGTTTTTTGGTGAATTTTATTGATACTGGCTTATAGTTGATCTAAACAGTAAAATGAAGATGTATTGGACATTTTTATGGTCCTGTAGTTAGAATTATTAATGTGAAAAATAGAAAAATTAAAAGTGAGGAAAAAAGCTTTCTTAGATATCAATATAAACTACCACCTGCTCATCTCTTGTCATGCAAATCTAGTTCTTATTAAATATTAATTTCCAAAACTGTTTCTTTGAATGGTTTCATACTGAATGTATTTCACTAGAAAAAAAAGCTTAAAAAACCAAAGAAAGATGCTTACTAGGGGATGATGCTGTAAATATTCATCAGTTTGTTTACCAACTTTTAATTTTTAATTTTGGATGAGTATTTTTGTCTCAATGTAAAAAACAATGCTAAGCCAGACAGACAGCTGAAATTTTTACTGCTTGTAATTACCTTGAATGTCAAACTTCCCATTGAGATTTTCACTTTGAAAGCTTTATGATGTTCCAGTCGACATTTTTGCTTAAAAGTCTCCTTCCATGTAAACCTCTGTGGAGCTGTGGCCATTAATTATTACAAGCCAACATGAAGAGTCACACCAACATTGAAATCGAAAACAACTACTTTGTCAATGTTCATGTGTATGTGTTTATGAATGAACGGAGGAGACGAACTAAGGTAGGATACGCTCTGCTTATCAAACTGTGTTCCTTTATATTTCACTGGTCTCACCTTGTGTTGTCCTTAAAAGGAACATTTTATTCAATGAATATAATCAAATGGTTCAATTTATTGTGTTTCTATCTGAAAGAGGAACAGTGCAAACGATCACCAGGAATGTTGTGATCATGTAAAGTGTACCAAGGGAATCATTTTTGCAAGTCTGCAAATTAATCCATAATGCATGAATTTTGCATTGAATGAAGAAGTCAAAGTTTTTGTTTGTGCTGCATTAATACTTATTCCTTAAAAAAAAATGATTGAGTATAATGTGACTAGAAATTATAACTTTTATTTTAAGCGGGTGACACCAATTACTATGAAAAGTATTCTCCCTAGGATGAGAGAATGAGACCTTTGCTTTTACAAATGTAGAAAATAATTTGAGAAAGATTGACATGATAATATTATTTTTGAGTTCCAGAAAATTACATCAGTCCATGTAGACCAACAGTACATTAAATTAAAAGCCATTCAACCAGGCTATATACAGGTGTATATAGCACAGTCAGAAAATTTTGTCTTACAAAGAAGTTAATATTTCCATTGTATTTCTAAAATATATGTGAATGTGGCCTTAATCACATCATGTCATGTCAATATTAGTTTTGTTTAACTCTAGTGAACTTGATCTTTATTCACAGTTCAAAATATGATTCATTCTATTATTTTAATTCACTTTGAGTGAACTTGCATGCTCCTAACAGCTATATCGCACAGCAAACACCTTACCATGGTCGATGAGCTGGCTTCCTTCCATTTTTTAGCAACTTACTTGAAAATTGCTGAATACTGAAAACAAAGGGCTTTTTCCATTCAGCCCAAAATTCCGGAAATTTTGGTTGGTACATCAAAATTTGATAGAACAGATCGTTTCAGTTTGGTTCAACTGGAATATTCGGGACCAGCTTTGAAGGTGGTCCTCTTTGACTGGTCTGGTCATTTTGGTCAGTTGGACTGAAATGTCCCTTTCCTTTTTGACAAAATTGTTGACCCCAAAAGGGGTACTGCTCTTTTGTATCCTGCTTACAAGAACAATAACCAAATGTGCAGAAAAATAAAATGAAGTATTTGCATGTGAACAGATTAGACAAAAAATTAATGTTCTCTCAGAACACTAGAAATGGTGTTTCAGGGGATCAGGAGAATGCCCTCAACCCCCTCAAACCCCACGCCCCCCCACCCCCCCCCCCCCACCCCCCCCTCTCCCCCCCCCCCCCCCCCCCCCGTGCCGACATATCACACTTCTGACCATGCCTTGCTGCGCTCTGCTACTCCTAATGTATCTACATGCAAGTCGCTCACTCACAGTCTCCTTTCTTAACCCCCCCCCCCCCCCCCCCTCCCTCCTTTCCTACCCCTAGCAGCTCACCCCCTTCAGCACTTGCATGGTTAATTCCTCGGTTGTGAAAAAGTATCCTGATTTTACATACCCAAAAGGCTGGACAGTCTGTTTCCCAAGCACCCTAACAAAAATGCTAAATTGCTCTTGTCCTTTATTTTTACAGACCAGGGACATTTACCAGTAAGTTTGAAAGAGAAACAAGTGATTTCAAAATTTTCTTTACAGGGCTCAGCCAGTTCTAAAGAAAGGCTCAACTCCCCGTCATCCATATCATGCATTGGAGAAGAAGGCAAACTCCTTGTAAAAGGTTAGCACAGTGTTCTTGAAATGTTAGACCTTGATCAAGGGTATTGGGAATCTTTCTTTTTTGAGGACCTGCTAGAGAATCTGAGAAGACAATTCATTTTGAAGATTTCAAAAGGCATTCTAAAGTTTCAAAGGTCTTGATCATGGCTAGTTGAGAGACTTAATAAGGCCTCAAGTGTATTGTGAGAATTGGAAGGCAATCAATATGATCCGGGCTCTCATTACCTTTGTCATCAAGCCTTTAACACTTCACCCCTTATTTCCCATACAAAATGATTCCTGCAGAACTTCTTTTCAATGTATGTTTAGACTGTTCATATTTGTTTATGTTGATGCACAGTATAGTGCTGATAACAATGGGTTTGCAATCTTAATTTGATATGGCAAGTGAAACTTGAAACAATGCAAGTTATTTTTTGTGAGAATAGGAGTAGGAGTAAAATAAAATTAATTATGCCCTCCCCCAAATTTCTTTCACCTGGGAAATTTGTTCTTCCTTCCCCTCTTGGCCTCACTCCTCCACCCCTCCAGCACCAGATTCTGTTGAACTGGCAGTCTCTTGACGGATGATTATATTTTTATTATTGCCTAGAAAAGAAACCTAATAAGAATTATTTAACAATTAGTGAATGAGGCTGAGTATCTTATGAAGAATTATGGAGATTGAGGAGGGCGTTATCCATTGGGGCTGTAGGCCGAGGCGGATAACACGCTCCGAGAAAGCTGAGTTCAGTAATTGTTTTATTATTCATTCAAAATAATTCCTAGTTTAAAAACAAAGCTAAAACGTGCTTAGCTCCATTGATGTGAAGTTCACCTTCCATATTGCACATTTAGGGTTGTTCAGCTCCGCAAATATTCTCCAAATAGCAGATGTCGCCCTTTGAGTTGTGTTCTTGCTGTTCTTGCCATGTTTTTAGCTATAATTTCGCCTACTTCTTACTCTTAAAAAGAGTTAATTGTCCGCCATGTTTTGTTTTCACAATCAAAACAACTCAGTCGCGTCCCCAGGTCTTCTCGGTTATGAGTTCATTAACCTGCAAGAACGCTGCATTTTTGACGTCATTTCCTCCTTAAACACAAAGTTCTTCCAAATTTGGTCATCAGTAACTGGTTATGGTGAATTATGCGTGTGCTTTTAGCCAATCTGAAACGGGGAAATATTTTGAATGAATAATAAAGTACATTAATGTTGTACCCAGTATCTGTCACTGAGTAAGAGGTACAGTTAATTTTGGAGATCAGCACATGGTACAGATAATTTAGTTACTTGCTCGCAGATTACATATAATATAATATATAATGTTGCTTGTGCATGCAATGCATGATATCCAAGAGCCATGATTCATTGACTGTGTTCTATGCTATGGTTTTTTTTTTTCATTGTTTTCTTAAAAATGTATAATAAAATGATCTGTTATTAGATTCGGTTTATCAAGGTCTTGGTAAGTGTTTTTAGCCTTGGCTGATAACAGTACTTGTCTGGAGTTTGGTTTTACCGGATACCACAAAAACCTCATCCAATAATAAATTATTATTTATCAACTTACTATTCTTTTCTTTTTACAGTAATCAAAGCAAGTGGTCTCTGTGGAAAGGAAAAAAGTGGTGAGAGTTTTAGACCATGTCAAAATAATGCTATAGTTGTCATCAGTTTCTATATAATAAAATAATGTAATAGTGATATTTGTAGTGTCTTGGACTCAGCAGTAGAATATTGTTTTCCGAAACCTTAAATGATCCAAAATGTGTCATTTATGTTTAAATAAAATAAAATAAATAAAAATTAATTAAACAATGATTTTATAAGCAGAGTTTTGTTAAAACGAGCAACTAAGAGGAAAAATGAAAGATTTATAACAGGATGCTTTGGGGTCCTTGTAACTCCAATACCAAGTGAAATGTGAATAATATTACAATTGAGCAAATGTGGACCAAAGTGTTTACTTAACCAGCTGCATTTGCTCGATTGTAATATTATTCACGTCTCTCTTGATAATGGAGTCATGAGGACCCCCAAAAGTTCTTGTTAGAAATCTTTCATTTTTCTTCCCATTATATAATAAACACAAAAATTAAAACCTTATAACATCTCTCCATTCTTGTTGTTTCATTTTTGCTCACCTTTTTTTGCATCTAACTTGTTTCAGGTACTGTCAGCCCATATTGTGTTGTTTCAACCAGTAATCCATTGCAACGCAAGCGAACCAGCATGGTCAGAGATAATGACAGCCCATTTTGGAATGAATATTTCACTTTGTAAGTTTACCACAATCTTTCAAATACTCCCTTGAAAAAAGAAGGGGAGGGGCGGGGAGGGGCGGGAAGGGGGGGGGGGGGCTTGTTTTTCCACCCATTTTAAGGGGGGGGCCCCACAAAAAAAGAACTTTCGCCCCCTTAAAGAATTTTTTTTAATACCACCTCTCCCCCCCTTAAACAATCAAACATTTGCAACCCCTTCCCTTTCCCATAAGGCTCAGAAGTGGAGGTTGAGAAAGGCCTCCCATTTTTTGACTGGTTGGTATTCTGCCCCCCCCCCCCCCCCCCCCCCCCAAAAAAAAAAAAAAAGGTTTTTTTTATTTAAAATAAAAGAAAAAAAGAAGGAACCCCCCCCCCCAACAAAACCACACCACCCCCCCCGGGGGGGGGGGGGGAAAAAAAGGGGGGGGGGGAAAAAAAATGACACCCACAAAAAAGAGGGGGGGGGGGGGGGGGGGGGGGGGGGGGGGGGGGGGGGGCTTAGTTTTCCAGCCATTTTAAGGAGAGGGCTCCACAAATAAAGTACTTTCGCGCTCATAAAGTACTTTCTTTAATACCACCTTCTCCGCTCCTTAACCAGTCAACATTTGCCAACCCTTGCTCTTGCCAATAGGCTACAGAGATGAAGTTAGAGAAGAGCTTCCATTTCTTGACTGGGAGGTTCCTGTTTATACTCTTCGCTATACCAATCCTTTGGGCAATCTTTCTCCCCTATATTCATCAGCATGGTTATCAAATGCTAAGGTCGGTTTCCATTTGTCAGAACTGACCTGCCAGACCATTCCCGTCGTGATGAGAAATTCACTTTTGATCAAAACTATCCAGCCAGATCAATCAAATCTTAAATAGTGTCCACGGAGGAGATGGGTTTTTATTAAAAATTCTTGGAAAAAGCCTATTTCTTTGTCAAAATGACTGGTGCGGCCATAATCCGGCCGGCCATTTCTGAGTTTTGGAAAGCGCTCTAAGTTAGCGTTAACTAACTTTTGTTTCATAACTGTTTGCAATTCTCCGGACATATTTCTCCTTACTTTAAATCTCCGACTTAACCCCTATGGAAGGCTTGATGCTTAGGACCTAGGCGCCTTTTCCTTCATAAAACAGAGCAGTGTGGGAAGAATGTGGTTTACTTTCATTCTGGGCCTTCCCGTGACACGCTGCTAGGCCTATAAAAGAAAAAAAAAACGGATAGGCCCAGGGAATGGACAAGGCAGACCCCTTGGTAGGCTCGATCTCTGTCGCTCTCTCGGGTCCTGTCTTGATCCTTACTGCGCGTGTGAGAGGTTTTTGCGTCTTCTCCACATTCTCCATACGGCTTCGCAACTCCACTGCCAAAACTATACTCGCGCTAAATAACGATCCTGTCGGCTACGCAGGTTACTCCCTGAGAAGAGCCAGTAGAGCGGGCTCTTTTCCCAAACAGTGCTAATGGTAATCGATCCTAACTCCTTGATGCATCATATAACCTACATGTAGCTGCACCCTTCCGGCGAAGAAGGAAAAACGAGACGCTCCCTCCCGCCATTTTTCCTTCTTCGGGGGAAGGGTGTGGCTACACGAAGGCTGTACCTCATACCGTCTAATTTTATATATTTTGTTCACTTTTTTCCGTTAGTGACATCACTCCTAAGACCAAAGAGATTTCTCTTGATATATATGACTACGAGAAAACCGACAGAGGCAAGTCTGAGGTTTTTCTTTTTCTCCTTTTTTGTATTTTTTGCCAAAATCAACTATTTTCTTGTTATTATTGATTTTTTTATTCAATATGTCATAATGCGTTATAACGCGTTTGAAAACGGATTCACCACTAAAACAAAACACGTTAAAACTAACTTTTCATTTTGTAACTGTTAAGGGAAAAGACCTATTGTCATAATATTACTTAAAAATAAATCTGACAAAACTCTTTTAAATATGTTTTGAATTAATAATCACATTTTTGAGTTTTGTGTTCAGCAGCCAGCTTTTATTTTGTTGGTCTTAAGTGAAACTAAATTTGACTTATTTTAATCATGAAATTCTGCAGCTTTAACTCTTGGCAGCTCTTAGGTTTGAAGGACTCATAAATTACCTTCTTTTTGTACTACTGATAACATCAAATGCTAATAAATTTTCCTAAATGTAGTATAATACTATATCTCCATTAAATTATATTAATTTTAAACAGATTGCAATGGCCATGTGAACGACAGTGAATTCACCCAGGAACAAGGTGAAAATAAAGTTTGTTTTAAGCACAGTGTACCGAGAGTTTTCAGCTCTTTTCATCCTAAAATTAATATTTTTAAAAAAATCTTAAATTTCATTTCTTAAATCACTGGAAAACAGATAGTACCGTACGACAGTACTGCTCAGTAGCTTTCATTTGATTTGTCACACTTTATATAAGAATTCACTCACAAATTTAAAAGTAAAACTCAGTTACATGTCTCCATTCGAAGGGAATAGCTGGCAAATTGTTGATGTTCGAAATATGTTTAAGTCGTAAACTGTTCATTTAATTAGTAAGATGTCTAAAATAATTTTATTCGGTTATCTTAGAAGGATAATGTGAGCACAGTTACTGACAAGGCGTATGAGTTAGAAAAACAACCAAAAGTAAAAAATGCAACTAAATGCACACGTCATTAGAGAGGAGAAATCGTTACGTCACTTTGTCATGGTAGCAAAATTTCTGGATGAAAAGAAACTGAATTTTTGTGTTGTGTTCACTTACAGTGCTGTACTCTGTCAATTGGGGGTGTGAAATTAGAACGTTTCATGTCGCAGACGACGGATAAGAGATTTACAAAAAAGCAGGATGCACATGGAAAGTTGTTATTTTGCTAATGTAAATCTATTGCTTTTTTGCCGTACTCGTTACTCGTCGCCGTCGTCGTTGTCTAAGCTCCTTATTGTCGTAATCCAAAAATTTTGCTTCCATGGTAACGTGACGTCACAGTTCTCTATTACAAAAGTAAATAAAGCACGTGCTGGTAATTAGATTGCGATTGAGCACACAACTTAAGCCAACAGAAAATTACGTAATTAAGGAATTTACGGTGTCACCACTCAGCCATTTAATATTTTTCTCATCTGCCTTGTTCGGAAAATAGCAAATTTTTAAATGACTGTTCTTCAATTAACCTACAAATTTATTCGATTTTGTATGTTTAGCTTTTATTTGAATTATATTTAAGTACCACAATAAAGCTTCTATATACCAAAATATCTGTTTGTACACATAGATGATTACCTTGGCCAGGTAATAGTCCCGCTTTCCACTGTGAACAGAGACCAGACTTGTAGACTCATCTTACCTGTCCTGCCCAAGTCTTCAAAGAGTGAGCACTCTAAAGGAGATATCAGCTTAGAGGTGAGGAAAAATCGAAGCATTTTTTGAGGGTCTGTGTGGCGGAGAGACTGTTTGCTGTTGTACAGACAGGGCTGTCACTAAGGGCCGGGAGACCGGGATTTTTCCTGGATACTAACATCAAGCATGACCCCCGGTTACTTTAATAGGAAGTAGAAGGTATAAAGAACGAAAATAACCTCCTAGCTGTTCAGTTCCCCCACCTATCGTCGCTGACAAGGTAATTCAGATTCCGGAATTCTGGGAACTTTTTGCTTATGGAATTTGAAATCCTGGGCTTTGGAATCGGGAATTCAGCTTAAGGAATCTGAAATCCCGCTAACGATTGGAATCCGGAATCCAATACCTTGAATCCAGGATCCACTGTCTTGGATTATCTTAAACCGGGCGACACGTTCATGTACTTATTTTAGGGACCTTGGGACTCCAACGGTAGCATCAAAAATAGCAGTAGGTATAGTAAAACAAAGACCCTGCAGGTGCATCACGTTTTTTCGTAAATTTCTTTGCCGTCCCTGCACGACAACGACGTGAAATGACCAAATTTTAAGTTTCTTGACTACGGGGATGGCAAAGCGATAAAATAAATTCTACTATCTCTGTCTGAACTCGAGCGCCGTCCTTTCTCGTCAGCTCCAAAAGTAACAGGTCGACTTAGTATAATCGCGAAATAGTTTGAAAGGACGCGAAGTATATTTTTCAGCGACGTTTTCGTGGACGACACCGTTGTCAGATCGTAAGGTCTCTATTGCATATTCCCGGCAGCGTGAAACCTTAGTGACAGCCCTAGATTGAATCCTACTTTTTTGGTGCGATTATCGAAACCCCTGTTGAGCTCAATTGTAACCTGCTGTTTTGATTTCGTATGGCGAGTGCTCATCGAACTATAGAGTCACTGTGAACAGAATATAATGCACGACTGCAATAACAGTCTGCCCTCGGGCAATGTCCAACGAAACTATCCTTTATGTTATCTATAAAATCCTGTCTGCGGAAGGACATGGGAACCCCTCATATCAAAGAGTTTCTTAGCTGGAGATTTGCTTGGTAACTAAAGAAATTGAAAGTTAACATAATACACGGCCGTGGCAATCGCTGCTTTTCAGATATACGACTGAGCATTTACAGGTTACGTCATTGTAAAATGCTCTTTCAGTTCCTGCTAAAAAAAATTCCAAAGACGAACTGTTTTCGTGTTTACAGAAAGTTGATCACGTGATCAGCTATTGCAGGTGCTCATACATACATTCTAACAGTTTAGTATTTGCCCTTCTATGTTTCAGTTTACGTTTGATAAAGATGGTAAAGTATTTGACGCCACTCTACCGATGGTCAGTGGTTTTGAGAGAAAAGTTTCTTCTGGCAAGTATCTATACTTTGTTATGTAGTCAAACAAATTAAATTTGTGAAATTCAGCGAAATCTATTTAATCCATAGTTTTTAATTTTCACTTTTCATAGCTTTTTCCTTTACGATTGTTCTGTTGATTTCTTTAACCCTTTGACTACATGTGTTCCGTGTACAGCCGTCACCCTCCCCTCAAACAATCCCCGATTTTGTTTGAGTTGCCGGGAAGGGGCGGCTGTACATAGGCTTTGCCTCCTAGGCTTCATACGTCACTCTAACTTTAAAGTCTGTGGGCGAAATCCCTTGGTGCTACCATTCTAATGAAACCTCTTCAGCAGTACTTTCACATGGTACTATTTATTTAGTATGTAGCTCTAACTTTTGAGTCTGTGGATGAAATCCTATGGTGATGCCATTCAAATAAAACCTCTTCAGCAGTACTTTCACATGGTACTTTTTATTTAGTATGTAGTTCTAACTTTTGAGTCTGTGGATGAAATCCTATGGTGATACCATTCAAATAAAACCTCTTCAGCAGTACTTTCACATGGTACTTTTTATTTAGTATGTAGTTCTATCTTTTGAGTCTGTGGATGAAATCCTATGGTGATACCATTCTAATGAAACCTCTTCAGCAGTACTTTTACATGGTACTATTTATTTAGTATGTAGTTCTAACTTTTGAGTCTGTAGATGAAATCCTATGGTGATACCAGCGTGCAAAGAAAGTACTGTCCGATAGCCCGGGGCTAGTGGATTTTGCTATCGGGCTAGTGAGTTCTGTTTTTAACTTGCCTGACGGGCAAGTGATGTTTTATGAGGAATTTAAATAACAGAAGAACAAAACGTTTTTGGGGCTAGTTGAAATGACGTCTGGGCTAGTAAATGCTAGCTTCAGCTTGCCCGAATGGCAAGCTGTAAAAATGATTTTCTTTGCACCCTGGGTGATACCATTCAAATGAAACCTCTTCAGCAGTACTTTCACATGGTACTATTTATTTAGTATGTAGTTCTAGCTTTTGAGTCTGTGGATGAAATCACCCGGTGTTACCATTCTAATGAAACCGCTTTGGCAGAACTTTTACATGGTACTGTTTATCTCATAATATTTAGAATTAAGACTAAGAGATTTGATTTTGTTTGTGGGTCGATTTTTCCTTTGGCCAGTAAAAAAATGAAAGGTTATTTCGTACGGAATGTTTATTTTAAAGAGCCAGCTTACTAACTTGCTGGCCCTATCTATCGCAACCGTAGAGGTAAAGTGAAGCGATAAATCGTTTTAGGAGCCAACTATGTCGCGACTTGATCTTGAATGACATTCTACTTGAAAGACAGTTGACCATGTAAGGGTTACTGAACATAAACCTAGTAACTACTAAGTGTAAAGAGGCGAAATAGCTGAAACTCTTGTAAAGTCAGACTGCATGCCTATTCCTTTATCAGATGCTGAGAAACCTAGTGCTCAGAGCACCCCATCAGAGGAATCACCCTCGATCCTGGTGAACGGAGTGGGGTCTGGTGTGGTAAACGGACACATTCCGCTTCGCAAACGCTTTATTGAGTCAAGCCTGGACGAGCTGGCCATGGAGCTTGAAGCTTATGAACAGGGCGAACAAAAGCCCAAGACACATGATGATCACGTGAACGACACGCAAGAAACAGATGATCTCGACACAGAACCAGAATTATCCCCAGTTGTCATAGCAGCGGATGAAGCTGAAACGTCACGCGACACAGAACAGATGGAAGACGAGTCTGAGAGGGCCATTGTAGAATTACTGAAATTGTCTGGAGAGGTATGGTGCATGCGTTTTATTGTCTTCGTCTGTATTTTAAAAGACAGTACCCTATGCGCAGGTATTAATGAGTTTAGCAGCTTTAAAGCTATCTGCCAAAACAATGGATAATTGTTTGCATTACTCACCGGATTTCTATGCAGCACAGTATATTTTGTGCCTATGTTTCATGTTTATCTTAGTTCACTCCCTTGTATAGCTGTTTTGTCATACGCGGGACTGTTTTTGTTTTGTCTCAATAGCTATTTCTCCTTGCTCTCACAATCACAGAAATGTGTCATACTCTCGTATGTAGTGGAACCTTGTTTTAACGAACCTCTATATAACTAGGTTCATTTTTTGAGGACCGAGAAATTGTCCGTGAGAGTGGAGTTCCTTCACGAGCCTCCCGACCTCGTAGCCTCCCACGCAGGCGTTTTTAGGAGAGCTCATTTTCGTCCCTCCCCAGTGGGGAGGGACGAAAAACGAGCTCCCCTATAAACGCCTGCGTGGGAAGCTACAAAAAATGCAGAAACAAATTCGGATGCTTAGTCCGCGGGATGCTATTTATTTAAGAACGCAAACCATCATTGAATGTGCAATCGGATTCGATTCGCGTTACGCTTTTCTGTTAAGAAATCTACATAACAATGAAGCATGCACGAATACAATCTAATTTATTCAAACCACAGATCACCCAGGCTCTGTGATATTACCACAGTACTGTTTTAGTAAAATTACATCGTTTGTATGGAGTAAAAATACGATCCTAAAATTTGTAGAAAATACTAAATAAAAGTCAATGGAACTTACTCTGCAGTTAGTTGAAGGGACACATTAATTAATGCTCAAACGAAGTTCCATGATAATTGCTCAATTTCACCCTCCATATAATAATTATAATACACAATGCAGGAGGTACGAGACGAAGTCTCAGTCGCGAATAGAAGAAGCGATGGCGTACTCCAAAAAAGTCCAAAAGCCAGTTTGCTTCCTGTTATTTTCATAGGATGTCCCAGAGGAAAGCATCGAGGAAAAAAGAGAGACTGAAAGTGAAACGGAGGAAAAGAAAGGCGAGGAACAAACAGAAGAACAAAAAGAGGACAGCGAAAAAGTTGACGAGCATCAAATGCCAGAGGAACAGGAAGAAAAGACCGAAGAACCAAGCTTAAAACCGAAGCACCGAAGGTCATTTAACTTGTTTAAGAGACGAAAAACTGACAAAAAAGCAGAGAAGGACGAGGAAAAAGGTGAAGAAAAGGAAGAGACAGGAGAGGCTAAACAAGAAAGTGATAAAAAGGAGGAAACTCCAGCTGAAGGTACTGAAAGCCACGAAGAAGTGCATCTACAAAATGGAAAAGACGACGAGGAACACGAGACAAAAGAAGAAGAAAAAGTGGAGGAAGAGTCTGAATTGGACAGAAAACCTAAGACGCGTCGCTCGTTTAACTTGCGGTTTAGAAAGCGACCAAAAAGTATGGCTTCTGCTGATAAGGAAACTGAGGATGATGGTGAAGAGACGGGTTTATCAAGACAAGACCCAGTCAGACACTCATACCATGCGGGGGATTTAACAGCACTTGAGGCCTCCAAATCGCGTAAGTAGAAATTTTTGCGTGCACATGTTTAAGTTTTACAATCATCGTCTGAGAAGGCTGGAAGGTACCTTCTCCTGGTACTTCCTTCTTTTTTTTATGGCGATGTTTGTGGCTTATTGTCTCCTTTAGTGTCGGAACACACCAGGCGACAGTCATGTCGCTGCAACACGTCGCGGTGATAAATCACTTTTTTTGTACGAGTCGGGCGACAAGTTGTTGCAAGTTCATGCAATATCGATGCAACAGGTCGCAGAGGCAAGTCGCAGCAACAAATCACTTGGCTTGACCTAGAGAATTTCTGTGCACTGAAATCTTCGACAGGATTTTGTCTTCGCCACAGTTTGCAAAGTCGAATCAGTTGGAATTTGTGAATTTGTGTCTTGTCGCAAGACAAATAATTTCACAAAACTTCCACTGTAGACACGAAGCAATTTGTCTCTGCGACTTGTCTGCAAGTGTTTTCCGACCTTTAATCCGTATTTTTCATCCTTCCCTCCCTTCCCCCTCCCCCCCCCCCTCATTCCTTTTTTTTTTGCTCTTGTCCCAACTTTCTCGACGAACTCGCGCGGAAACGCTTGCTATGCAGGCTAATAGGATGTGTAACACGATTTCCGACCGGCCTGAGTCATTTCGCAGACATGCACTTGGCGCCATTCGAGTCACTGAACAACGGTCTTACCTGTCTGCCTTCTCATTATCAAGTGGGAACATTTCCCGCCGTTATTCCTTTGGTGTCTGCGTTCATTTCCCTTCCCCCCCTTTCTCCTTGCCCCAAGAAAAAACTTTTTTAACCCCCCCCCCCCCGCTCCCTCCTCCCAAAAGAAATAGAAAGAAAGAAAGAAATAAAAAGAAAGTCGCATAATGATTTATTTTCACTTTCCCCTGGTTATTGCAATGCTTATGCAAAATTTCGAGGTGTAAGCGAGGTGTATTATGGGCAATGCGAGAGTGGTGAATACGTCCGAACAGGCAGCGTCCGATCGTGTCGCAGATCTTCATGGATTATATTATGGAAACCATACTTAAAGGGAGACTTCACCAAATTTCTTTCTTTCTCTTTTAGAAGATAAAGAAGAGGTCAAGGAAAGTCAGAGAGAAGATAATAAAGATGAGGAGGCACAGGAAGGAAAACAAACTGAAGACCACGAGGCAAGAGAAGAAGAAGAGAAACTGGAGGAAGCCTCCGAGCTTAGCAGAAAACCAAAGATGCGTCACTCGTTTAATCTGCGCTTTAGAAGGCGACCAAAGAGTATGGCTGCCGCTGATAAGGAAACAGAGGATGATGGTGAAGAGGGAATTTTGTCAAGACATGACCCTGTAAGACATTCATATCATGCGGGGGATTTACCAGTTCCCGACCTATCTAATCTACGTAAGTACATTAATACTTTGACACTGACTCCACTTACACGAGATATCCCATGTGAAAAGTTTATTGATGCCTCAGACAGTCATCTGATGTAGATGTATCCCAGTTAAGTTACCTCTACATTATACTTATAGCAAAAATACCATATGTTCTTGGCGAGAACGTGTGCCATGCCTGCTGCGAAGTGAAAAACCACAGTTGAGAAGTGGCCAAAAAAAATGTGTGGAAACTTATTTTGCAAAACTAAATTTAGTAAATTTCCTTTTGCGTCTTTGGGCATTTGTTGGAGTGAAACTTTAAGTTGTTATGAGATTCGTTCACACTGACTGTGTGTTGCTTTGAAGCCTCTATTGTCTTCGTAAACGTACACTTACAACCTCTTTCTTTGTTCCTTTTAGGCAGATCGACCAGTCAGTCATCTCTGCTGAGTTATTCACCGAATCCATACTCTACCTTGATTATCGAGACAGTCAGTAAAGGGCAGAAGAAGTAAGATCAAGTGCATATGTTATTAAGCTTAAAACCAAAAAGTAAGAAAAAGAAAGTTATTCCTTCTGCCTGTCACTAAAGGCGGGAAATGGAATGACCCACTGCCAGTAACAACCTCTCGATGATCTTACGGAAAAATAGAGGACTGTAAACAGTCTACAAATAACACATAGCCAACGTTAATTAAACGCGGGAAAATGTACCACGTGACGCAGTGGTCTTCGCTTTATTCCCGATCGGCTGACCGAGAAGTAACCTGCTTGTTTTCTTTGTTAGCGACCGAGAATTACAATTACTGTATTCTGTTGCTATCGACCGAGAATTGCCGTATTTGTTTTCTGTGGCTAGTGACCGGGAATTACCATATTTGTTTTCTGTTGCTAGTAACCGAGAAACACATGTAACATTTGTTTTTTTTTGCTTGTTCACTGCTGAGGTTCAAGCGGGGAAATCTCGTGAAATTCAATTTTTAAAAAATTAGCCTGCGTCAGCACGGGCCTTGACTGCAAGATAGGTCTTGTTCGGAATAGTCTTCTAAAAACTGCTTTAGATCTGTTTTTAGTTTAATTACCGGTCAATTATCTGGTTGATTCGAGCGATCGGGGTCTCACGTTTGCGACACAAGTATTCTCGAACTTTGGCTGGCATGACACTTATTCTTTATGTATCTTCGAGATAACAATTTTATCCTTGCAAGAGGATTGGAAGTTAGTTAAAAATCGCCCATTGTCACGCTGCCCCTATCTACAAGACCCCCCCCCCCCCCCCCCCCCCCCCCTTTGTGGTCTCAAAGATGTTCCAACTTTGGGGTGGATTACAACTTTTTGTTTTGTATTTTTCAGATAAAAAATTTTTCCTTTGACGAAGGATGGGAATTTAATAAAAAACCCCCCCTTGCCCGCTTCCCCCTTCCAAAAAACCCCCCCCCCCCCCCACTCCCACGTCTTTTCTGATACTTACCTGTTTTCCTCAGATATTCACACATCCCCCCTGTGATGGCCAAAAGAGGAGCGTACGAGAGAGGAGGTAGCAAACTGCATATCTACAATGACCACATCTTTCAAGCTGTGCACTTCTCGGGAAGGTAAAGTCTTTGATTGTAAATGCCTTGTCTCGTATAGAAAACATGCTGTACTATATTTCTTATGGTGGCAACACTAAGTGACAATATCTAAGTGACAAGCTTGAGACAAACGATGAACGAAACCCTTTATACACGTTATCGAACCACGATGAACAATCATGTCTTTCATGACAATAACTAAGGTGTTTAGCTGTTGTCCACTCGCAACCGTTTCCCAGTTTTTGAAAGCAGTAGGTGACGGAACTCATTTGGTATGAGAACTAGCATTAGATAAGCAAGCACAGCACAATGGACATATTTTTAAATACTGTGGTTTACGGAATTTATGATGTCAATATTGACAACTTTCTTGTGTCTGTTAAAAAAGCTCCCCGGATTGCGCTGTGTGCGGCAAGTTGATTAGGGGAAAAGTTGGCAAGCAAGGCTATCAATGTAGAGGTAATTATTGAAATAAAAAAAGAGAAATTAAGGGTCACGTTTACGCCAAACGGCAAACGTGAATTTGTACCACGTGAACTTGCTTTCTCCTTAATTGTCGTTTACTGGTTATTACTTTTACCCAAAAATAAGAAGTTTCACGCCAGTTTTATCCATAAGAATTGTTCTGTCTGGGCGGTTTTTATTTGCTTATTTTCTACTACTGAGAAATTCTCAACTTTAATGTGACGTTTGCCGCTTGTCGTTAACGTGACTCTTAATCTCTCTTAATGACAGAATTCCGCAAACAGCAGAGGAGAAGTATTTCAACTTGGACGTGCTTTACTACAATTTGTGAACGGCCACTTTGCGCAATAGTGTAATCAAACCGGCTGAACTTGTGCAGTAGTGTTAACAATTGTAGGGAATGGGTGTACCCCCCCCCCCCACCCCTTCAATAAAAGTAGTAGGTGTATTTATCGTAAAATTCCAAGGAAACTCCGATCGAGGTACCAGACGTTCGCCATATGGATGCGGCTCCAATTTATTTTAAATCCTCACAGTTTGAGTAACAACAGATAGTCCATCCTTCTCTCCTTGCTCGAGACCCTTAAACTCCCCGAGAAGCTACCTCTGCGGCTCCTATGGCGGTCTTTTTAGATTGAAGCACTGAGGCTGTACCAATCCACAAGTATTAACAACTAACCCCCAGGAATCAACGTACGTGTCTAAGAAAACTGAAAAAAATATAGACTTGACCCTAATTGATCTTCGTTGCATTTGGTTTCATGTACGGCCCTCTGTTGTGTCCACAGGGTGTAAAATGGTCACGCATCGTGACTGCCATTATGAGACCACTGCAATGTGCACTAGTGATGCAGTCAAACATATGGACATGTAAGTGTATTATATATCAACCTCACACCATATGTTTTTAAGCTCTTTCTTTCGACATTATCTCCCTCGATTTGGACACCGTTTGTTGAAATGCCCATCATTTCTAGTTGCTGTATAGAGCCGGATCAAGCTCCGGCCTGCTGAGACATTGGGCTGATTTAGCAACAGGACGGGAACGTCAGTTGATGACGGGAAAGCGCGCGAAAAGGACTGAACTGTTTAATTTGCGCACGCCGTCGTCAACTGACGTTCCCGTTCTGTTGCTAAATCAGCCTGTTAGAGGGCATGTCAACCGGAATTGGACGTTTTGCCTTTTTGAGTAGTGAACTTCCTGTATTTTGGGCAAAACGTCTGCATATAAGTAAATACGCTTAGCAAGACAGATTTGGCCCGGGGAAGGAGGGGGGGGGGGGGGGGAGGGGGGACTGCCAATTAGGGGGAATTAGGGTGTGGGCCCCGGTGAGGGGTTTGGTTTTCCAGCGTTTTACTGTGGTAAGGGGTGTTTTGCCTTTTTGAGTAGTGAACTTCCTGTATTTTGGGCAAAACGTCTGCATATAAGTAAATACGCTTAGCAAGACAGATTTGGCCCGGGGAAGGAGGGGGGGGGGGGGGGGAGGGGGTACTGCCATATATGGGCTATATAGGTATGTGCGGCGGGGAGGGGTTGGGGTTTCAAGCAGTTTACTTTAGGATAGGGTATATAAATCAGAGCGTTTGGGTCTAGAATAGGGTATCATTTTTCAGGAAACTGATCAGTTGGTTGAAGATTTTATCTAGACTAGGGATTGTGGTATAATGTTTTGTTTTGGCTAGACAACTGTGCTAGTGACCTCAGTAGTTTGTGGAAAACAGCTACTCTAGGATAGGGGGAATTTGGGGAGTTTACTCTATTATAGGGTAGCAAAATTCAGCTGAACTAGCTCTGGATAAGGTTAAGGGTTGCAGGGTCCCAGCGGCACATCCCCACCCAGAAATTCCTAAAGTACCCCCCTCCCGGAGATTTGGTAGCGACAAGGCATACCAAAATGAAAAAGGGCACACTTCCGGGAGACGTGCGTCGTCCAAAAACGTCCTTGCTTAAGCTCCCTTTTGTTTGGCTGTGCTCTTTGATCGGTATTAGCCCGTCGTTACACAATAAGGTGAAGGATCTGCAGTTATCAAGATGTAGCTGTGGTTTTACTCCGCATACTCTCATTTCTTTTTCTGTACACGAGTTGCACGTGCCATTCAGCAACTTCTAGACAATTTTTTCAAGCGGACGTACCAGTGCAGGTTTAGTACTGAAGCCTGACTCTGATTCTGAAGCCTGGTTTTCATTTGCCAGCTTTTAATGCCATAAAGGAAACCCTAAAGTGTAGTTCTAAAGTGAAGAAATTTTGCAAGAACTTGTTAAATGTCTCTTGCTTAGCCTGGTGAGCAAGTGTTTCCGCACGAGTTTGTTGCAAAAGCTAGAACGAGAGTGAAAAAATGGGAATGAGGAGAACGAAAAGAAGCTTTCTTTTCCACCTCTTCCCCTTCTTCTTCTCTATCGCTGGCGTTCCATTTTTTCACAACAAACGCGCGAGGAAATGGTTGCTATGCTGGCTAACTTGTGCCAAAGTTAAAAATTATATTAGAGTGGGACTTATCCTGAATACCTGAAACTTTAATCAAAGGGTGGTTATTTATCTTTCTTCCTTCTCCATGGCATGGTTTCTGACTGAAAAGTAAACGCAACAGTACGTTGAATGTTAAATTTGACCGTCTTTAAATAGAATGCGACTGAATGGCAAATTAAATGTTCCTCTAAGTTTCCAATATCTTTGACATTACGACAGCTATCATTTTTGTCATTATTAATGAGTGAAAGCGTTTTGTTTGACGCCGTCTTCTTGATTTCCACTACTGATAACGTGGTTCATAAAATTAAATCGATTAAAAACATTAAAATTAACGCGTTTTAAGTTTCTTTTGAATGGTAAATAACGTTTTAAAACCTAACTTTTTTAAACAGAGGTTAAAAAAACAGCTAACCAGTTCTTTTCTTTTACCATGGATTAACTATATTTAAAAGTCAAAGTAAGCATTTGGTGGCATTAAATTTTTAAAAACTCTCGGGTTAAAACGACGTGTAAGTTTTTATTTATTTATTTTCTCAAGCGTGATGCTTAAAGTCTTACTAGCCATTTTGAGGTCACGTGTAAGACTGTCGTTGTTGTCTCGAAGCGCACTGTGGGAGGGAGTCAAATAGTCCCATAGTGCATTTCGACCTTACACCGACCCGGTGTCACATCAACTTCAGAATGGTGAACTGCGTAACTGTCCATTGACTGAAACTTCTGCCATCGACAGCGGAGCTCTCAGTATTTGACACAAGTAGTAGGCTTTTTGGAGTTCTGGGTAAAGACGAAACGATGCGTAATTAAACTGCAGCATACTTTTATTGAAAAATTAAATACTAAACCACTCCCACTTAGTTCCAGAGTCTACACTGAGCACGTGTCCAGCACATGATCACCCGATGACACACCCTAAAGGTACCACGTGATAGCGGTGGCTGATAACCCTTCCACTGAAACTGTTGCGCATTCTAAACCCCTAACCTAACCTTCCTTTCTTTCAATTAATGTCTTTTCTGCTGTCCTATAATCTAGCGTTAAAATGCCGAAATTTGTTGGCCATAATTGAGGTGAACTGGTGATATAAACCGAGGTAGGGTTTCATTGTCTTAAATGGATGAATCTCTTTTTTAAAAAATCTAACATCTTTTAACACTCTTCCTTTGCATGGTTAATATTAAAGCAAACGTTTGCAAATTTGCTGACAATTCAAAGCTCTGCCTTGCGTTTATCCGCGTACCGAGAGGTTACCGAAATTTTACCGCAAAAGAAATTGCTCAAACTCATTGTGTTAGTACAGATCAAATTTGACACGTGTTTAAAACAGAGGAATGTTTGGTTACGTCCCAATTGCTCTGAGCAACGTAAGAAATTTTTTTCCACTTTAGAGTGCCATTTTGCATTTCGTACATGCTTGAACACTTTCTCGCATTCGGGGCAACATTTGAGCAAACGCTGTTTACTGTGAAACTTTTGTAGCTAAAACTGTTTGCTGATTATGATTGATTACGCCACTCCGTGGTCTTTTCTTTTGTTATGGAAGGTCATTTGGGAACAATAGAAGTTGAACTTGGTGTTAGGCAAAATAAATACTGTCAATACTTCACCAAAAAATTTAAAATAATACATTTTGAAAAACTTCCTAGCTGCATATTTTCACCTTTTGTTCATCTTTTAATGTTTTTGGACATTATTCTAAAACTATTTCGAGCACGTTCTAAGCTAGCCTCCCCCGCAGACATTCTTAGGAACGCGTGACGCACGCCTAAGAATGTCTGCGAGGGAGGCTAGTTCTAAGCCTTTTTTGGCATTTTTTCCAGCACTTTTTAAGGATCTTTCCAGCACCATCAAGAAAGGCCTATGCGTGATAGGCGTTGGCTACGTTGATTTCAAACCTCGCAACGCAGGGCTTTTGTCAACCTCTGCAGGCTATAATATACTAAACTTCAATGCATGTCTTGTAAATGAGTTAATAAACATTCGTTTTTTTATGTTCTTAAAAGATAACAATTAAACTTTTTATCTAAAACAAAGGAGTTTAAAAAGTAAAATGAAATAAAACATAACTATGCTTAAGTTTGACCAGCTGAGAGAAGTGCTAATTGAAATGAAGAATAGCGTTAGTTTTTTTGTAGCTATCAGTTCCTGAGTAGCTGTTTCATGTGCATAGGAGAAACGTATCTGCTTTAACTGACTCTGAACACGGCTCTTTTTCTCTCAGCTGTCGCAAAACTTAACTTTTGTATATGCTTAAAGCAGAAGTAAGAGGAATAGCAAAAACTCGTTTTAACGGATTTTTGAAAGTGATATCAGCTAAAAGTTGGATCGATTTCATCGCAAGCTTTCAATTAGGCTGTGAAAACAGCCGTTTCTCTTCGCTCTTCGCTGCTGGGGACGTTTCACGAGGAATAACGTCTGCGACTTAGCGACAGGAATTCCATACTGATGACGTAAAATCTGTCCGGAATCCGGTCAGGACCGCTGATTGGTCGACGGAGTATTTACATTGTTTTAGCTTTTGTTTACGAATGACAGACAAAAGACAAAAGGCCATGAAGGTGAAATGTAAACGCGATGAAGCTCCAACAAAACAGTCAAAATTGGTGGAATATATTCTTCTTTAGAAGAAGCATTTGAGTTTTGCTGGAGCTCTTTCGCAGATGAACACAACACTTGAAATTGAACAAATTTTGATGTGGAACCCATGACTTCCAGATACACCTGACTGAAAAAACGTTGTCGCGTGAAAAGTATAAACCGTGAACGATGGGACGTAATAGATTTGTGGGTACAGCTTAATTAGCATTGCAAATTTAAAGTTCCTCTCAAAAATGTTTACATTTACGAAGCTTTTCGCGACGATGCATTCAAAAGAACGTAAAACGGTTTCCAGTATTTACGGCTCACAACTTCACCAGTGCTAGACACATAAGAGATTTCTACAGTTAAAGAGCGTAGCCATATCGCTAACGCACACTTGAAAATCATAATATAGGACCTAAAAGCGTTCTTGGAAGACAAAAAAAAGACAACAGCATGCCTTAAAAAAGTACTCTAGGGATTTGCATCCGCAAGAGCATCTCGTGACAATGTAAACTTTTGTCGAAAGAACTTGAATTTGCTTTGCTAAGGAACGTATACCCATAAATCCTTGAAACGTCATCGTTCATGGTTTATACTTTTTAGCGACAACGTTTTTTTCAATCAGGTATATATTATGTAAACATTGATGTACGTCATCAGTATGGATCTTCTTTCGCCGAGTCGCAGACGTCCCTCGGCGCGAAAAGTCCCCAGCGGCGAAGAGCGAGGAGAAACGGCTGTTTTCGCAGGCTAGCTTTCAATAATAATAATAGTAATAATAAAACGATAACAAGAACTGAATTCTGAATATGAAGTAAAAACT